AATGCTTACACATTGAGCACGTTGTATTATCATCTGTGTACATCTGTCTTCTCCATCCGAGGATGAGTTCTAGGTTGAAAATCCCTCGCTTGGTACTATTGATTTCTCCACCTTCTCCAACACTCTCCCCTGACACAGCTGCACAGAATGAGGACTGTGTGTACTTATGAGTGTGGAAACACACGTTTAAAGAATGAACATACCAAAAATATTGTTGGTTATGATAATCACTGACATTGAGCCTTTTAAAGATGATGCACTGAACATGACACAGGACTTGCTTCTTTGCATCAGAGGGAAAAAGGGAAAGAGGAAAGACACATCTGGTCAGAATAACCTGTTATGAAGCAGGAAAAGGTACCCATTTACTCAACAACTAAAGAGATGAAACTTTTCTGCTCCCATAAGAAAATTATGGAACCATACTCACTGTGAAGGAGCACAGAACTGGCCTTCAAAAGTGAGAATCAAGGGCTGGGGATATAGCTCAGTGGTTTCACCACCTGCCTTCCAAGCACAAGGGCCAGAGTTCAATCCCCAGTACCAAAAAAAAAAAAAAAAAAAAAAAAAAAAAGTGAGACTCAAGATTCCTAAGCATTCGTGGCAAAAGAGTGGAAATCCTTTCTACCAGTAAACTGGGCAAACCTAGGATTCGCTCTGGGCCTCAGCCTTCTTCCCTGGACAGTGACAGGGCTGAGATGGCCTCCCGCTCTGGCTATGCTCTCCAAGGGACACTCCACAGAGCATTCACAACCCAGCAGAGGGAGTCATCTCCCTCCACTGTGTTAAACTACAGAAGAACAGGACAAAGGAGTTTCTTAGGAACAATGAAGAAAAACGCAAAGTCATTTTTTTTCCTCTCATTGAGTTTATTGGTACATTTTAGGTATACAGTACAGTTACATTCATCATTGGGACCTTGTACCTTTACATGACAGGTCTTGGTTCTCATCTTTTCCCCTTGTCCCTGCCCTCCCTTCACCCCTTCCTACCCTCCCCATTTACAAACACTTTATTTCCATTTTCTCATATTTTTTTCTTTTCCTTTATTACTTTTCCCCTACCCTTCCCACTTTCCCTACACCTCTAGCCCTTTTCTTCCTATTTCACATTGTTGATTATCTCATTAGGATCTTATGTACTATTATAGTTTTTCACACCAGAGAAACTATTCAGTATTTAGCCATCCCTCTGCTGGGTATCTTTCCAAAAGAATAGAAAGAATCATATCACAGTGATATATGTGCACCTATGTTTGTAGCTGCAAAGTTTGTAATAGCAAAAACTCATCGGTTTTAGAAACTGCTAACCATTAATAATAAAATAAGCAAAATGTTATACCTTATATGCACCAAGGCAAAAGAATATATGAAATTAGTTACCATTAAGTACACTAATTTTTAAAACTCATTTTCAGGTTCCCTGTACGTCAGAATTATGAAGGCTATTCTTACTCTTTCAGTCAAAAGGAGGAGTTTTTCCTAATTAAATTCCCACAGATTCCCTTGCAGAATTTAAGATTCAGAACCACTGTGAAGAGCAGCTGTGTTTAATTCAATCTCTGGTTGCCAAGAGGCTCTACTGTTTGGAGAGTAGGTAGCAATCCAGAAAGAAAAATCACCTCTGTGGCTTCACGCGTATCCTTCTGGGAGTATAAATGTATTATACAAGTAGATTCCACCCTGGCTGCACATTAGGAACACTTTCTAAAAATATTAATTCTGGCCGCTACCACAGACCAACTAAAATCAAAAAGTCCGGAGGACAGGAAGGGGAATGAATATTTTTAAATGCCTCCTTTGTGATTTTAATATAGGTTACGGCATAGACTGCTTTTAGAGAAAGGTAGTGCAAATTATATTCTCTGGAAGGAGCTAATTTTTCAAGTGACTTACACTGTATTTTAAAAACTTCTACACCAAATAAAAAGAAATAACTTCAAAATGCTTCTTACTGGGGCTTGGGTATAGATCAGTGGTAGAGCACCTTCCTGGCATGGGCAAGACTCTGGGTTTGATCCCCATCTCCACCAAACAACCAAAAAAAAAAAAAAACTGCTTACAGAAATTACAGAACCACCACCTGAAACATATTCAAGTAAAGTTAAATCAGTTACAATTTCAAAGTAACTTAAATAGCCAGAGACAGAGGGCCATATATTACAATATATCCCTGTAACAGGATGGTAGAATAAATTTTTATGATACACAAAATGGTTCTTAATACATTCTTAGTTAAAGAATTGGGTTGAAAAATAAAAAAGTGACATTTACATAAAACCACTGAAAAGAGAAAAAGATGTACATGGGTAGAGACAGAAGCCTGGAGATGACAGAGCACAATGTGAGCTGCGTCCACCCCCTGACGTGAGCTCTTTGTGGAGTAATACTGTTTCCTGCTACCCCAGGGGAACCCACAGGACACTGTTCATTGTGCTCCTTAACCAACATGCTGACTCCTAGACTTTTCTCTTCTTACTTTATTTCTGCAATGATTAAGTTTTCATGCTTCTGGGTACCTTTAATGAGAAAGAAGTCACTATGAATTGTCACTTCCAACTGTAGCTTTGATGATGTGGTGGCCTACACGAGGATGCGATCCCTTCTAACTACAGACACACGCAAGAGTTCAGTCAACTGCAACTGTAAGTGTAACCCTAAGCTCTTATAATAAAGATAAGAGATATTTAACAGGAGCCAGAAAGAAAGGAGAAACAAAGTCAGAAGTGAACGCTGGATATAGATCTAGAAAAGTATTGATGATGGTTTCCATGGCCACACAAATACAAGAAAGAAAGACTTGGCCCTTGGGCCCTGTGGTTGGGACCAGACTGAGCTGGCACTGTTACAGCCAGACCTGGGCAGCCTACTCCTTCAGCAAAAGGACTAGAGCAATTCCACTAACCTGTTCAAGTAATATTAAAATGAAACATCTCACATTCACTGAGCATTTATAGATGCCAAGCATCATTCTAGGAATTTTATGTCTAATTGATTCCTCGACATTCAAGAAGTTTGATTTAAATATTGTAATTATTTTTAGATCAGAGGAAACAGAAGCACAAAAATGTAAGTCAATTTCCCCCGAGGTCACAAAGCTAAAAGGTAGAGACAATATTCAAACCAAGGCTTTCAGAATTCATTTTTGTGCATTTCCTCAGAGAATGCATCAGGAGTCACCAAACAGCTATAAACACAATTAGTAAAGTACATTTTCTGGGGAAAAAAATCTAAGTTACTCTGGGATTATATGCTATTTGAAATCTAATTTATTAATATACACATTGAGAAGTACCTTCAAATTTAAACTCTGACTCATTTAATGTTTGTTATTACAAAACATAAGGTTATTCAAAGTAATTTTGATAATGAATCTAGAATTTGAATTATAAAAGACAAAAGTTTTCATCCTTGGCCTTCAAGTTCACTTTTATAATAAAGTACCAAAGAATATTCCTAGTTTACAAAGAGAATATCAAAAACTTTGTCAGATACATACTTATCCAGAGACAGGGATATGAAAAGTTCTTTCTAAAGGTACTTCATAATTTACACACCATCATTGATAAATGTTCATTTGTAATTCCAATTTGACCCACGATTCCATAGAAATATTACAAAGTACCAATCAGGGAATCTGAGGATGTTGAAGTTGATATTTTAACCCTTTTATTTTACAAAGAAGTAACACTGTTGCAGAAATAGTTACTGGGAAATTTGGAACTTGAATATAGTTTTCAGTATTTCAAGACAGAAGCTATTTTAAGAATGTCACTTAAAATGGTGAGATTAACAAGTCATCCTACAAAAAGCTATTTACCCCACAGTGTGACTGAAACATTTAGCAATGAACAATCAATAGGGAACAATGGTATTGCAGTGGTCATTATTCCTTTTATAAATATCTAAGCTGATCAAACAACTTGGGTCTTTTCCTTTGCAGGCAAGGACCTTCAATATAACTCAAGGGAGGTCTAAATGAGATTGAACAGGGGACCAGGGATGTAGCTCAGTGGTGCCGCACACCACCTGCCTTGCAAGTACAAGGTCCTGAGTTCGATCCCCAGTACCAAGAAAAAAAATTGAATGGGCCTTCTAGATTAATGTCCAACTCTTCATAGTAAATTAAGATGTATAAATCAGCACCTGAGAATACTGCAAGGAACATTTTCTGTATTAGGGATAGATGCAACACATGGGCATGCTACGTTTTATTTTCTTGAAACAGAAGATTTTTATGTATGTAATTATATAATGTCCCCTCATTTCCTTAATTTTCAACAATGTTTTCCTCAAAATCCAATGTGACCAGCTGGATGTCCGTGACACTCAGGCTTCCTCCATCTTTACCTGTCTGGTGTGACCAGTCAGTCCCTGGATCTGCTGTGATCTGAGCCCTTTTCCCATTCTCTTTCCTAAGTTCCTTCTCTAAGAAGACTTGAGTTGGAAGCAGGATTAACCCTCTTGTGACTATGCAGATGTTTCTCACACTAAAAGAGACAGCTGTTCTGCAAGTAGGAAGTGAGTTTCCAGAAAGAAACGTCAAGGTTTGTCTTAGAGTTTAACTCAAAGAAGCTACCACTTAGCTATTGCACATCTTTATGCAACAGAACAGGTTTTCCTTAAGCAGCTGGCATTAGATGAGCAGTATTCCATAAAGGCAGCATAAAGAAGCGAAATAAAAATGCTTTTTTCACTTTAATGTTGAAAACTAGCTGGGTGTGGTGGTGCATGCCTGAAATCCAAGCACTCGGGAGGCTAAGGCAGGAGGATCGCTCTGAGTTCGAGACCAGCCTGGGCTACACAGTGAGTTCCAGGTCAGTCTCAACTACATAGTGAGACCCTGTCTCAACCCCCACCCCATAAAAGTTGAAAACAAATGATACAGAAAGTTTTTCAGCATTTATAAATACAGAGAGTTTTCTCAAATTCTATTAAAGTTAATTACTTGAGGAACCCTATGGTTTTCCATGATAACAAATAGAAAAGCACGGTACATACCCTGAGTAGCTGTTGGAGGTAGCTTGAGGGTGTTGTCTAACTTCTCCCAAAGGTAAGTTGGTCGGGGAATGCCTTCCTCTGAGCTACAGAGCAAGATCACATCACTGCCGATGTCCTGGGATCCTTGGATTTGGCAGTGTGGGGCAGAAGGGGGAACTACAACAGGAAAGGGGAGCGACAAGGCACACATTTACTCTGATTCAAGGGCTGAGGGAGCAGACATCAGTATTCAACACCTTGGAACCTCGGGTGACAGTGACTGGGGATCACACAGGAGATGAGCCCGTAGCTGAAGCCAGAGGACAACTATGCACTGATTCCTGGGCCTGGGCAGCTGCACATGGCCTGCCACGTTAGTCTGCAGGGAGCAAGTATGGAGAAGAACTACACACTTGCATTATATTTTCAAGATACCCGATGGTCTTGGATTCATCCTGCTTCTTATAAAACGTTCCTAAGATCCTTCAGGCAACATGCTGCCTTTAAAACACTGCTAAAAGTCTGCATTAGAGACATTTTGAAGGAACAGAAGACCCCCCTGCCAGCTGTCCTCTGGCTAAGACCACTTTCACAGGGCTCTTCATCATTTTACAAACGAACAAACAAAAAACAGATGGGCATGCTTTATGACAAATTCTGTTTCATGGCAGGGAAAGTCATAGTAAGGCTAAGGTTAGGATACTGCTGATAGCAATGGCCTGAACATCACAATCCAGTAATGTCTGTTTCATAATGAGACACTATAATCACTCAGATAAAAACACAAAAGACAAGAGAAATAAATATCAGAAAAGGACACTGGTAGGAAAAGTAAGTCAGTGGTTACTTACACTAGTAAAAAGCAAGTAACAGAAATGTAAGCCCACGGCTTAAATTCCAATTCTGGGAAATGAAGACACTAAGAGATTATGTGTGAGTAATTACACATTTATATTGCCAATGACTTTTCAACAAATACATTCACTTTTTCAAAAATGAAAAGAAATGAATGCAGACTATTCAGAGGACTCGGCAAAGAGTGAGTGGAGCAGAAGAATATAGTGAAAGGCAGCAAGAATAAAAATCTTAGAAACCCTAACTGCTGTGATGGGGTAAACGATGTTCTCTTCATATCCCCTTCATATTCTCTTCGTATCTCTTTGCATCACATGGCCACTGTGATACTCAGAAGAAAACTCAACATAGTTCCATGGAGATAGCATTAACTGTAAAATAAAGTCTTTTTTCCTTTATCATCAAAATAAATAAGCTCAGATAACCCAAGAAGCCAGCTGCCTGGTTTATGCGTCAGAATAATATTTAATTCTGTTAGTTCTATATATCCAATACTTAGAGCACTTCAAAATCTACATAATTTTAATATATGATAATGAATAATATTTTGAGAAGAGAACTCTCTAACTTGGTCTTTTAGTTTCTTAATTGTTTAAAGACTGGGAGGAAAGGACACCAAATATTAAAGTGTATTCTTGCACAAAGAGGGAAAAATGACAAAAATTCCAACATCAGTATCCTGAAGAGATGATGGGAAGAAAGAAGGGGTGTGAGGGATTTGACAAAGACCACAGGGTAGGTTCTGAGACTGCGAAGGATGGAGACCCATGCCCTTCCCTGAACCATTCCTCCATCTCCCCAAATGAACTGAACTTAGCCAGTTTTCTGAGTATTCATTTAGAAGGCAGTGTTTTATTTTATGGACAGGAAAACCGAGAAGTCTGACCTGTTTAAAGTGGGTGCAATTTAGTATGACACAGTCTAGGAGTACAATGTAATGGAAAGGGTGGTGCTCTGAATAAGGAGATCTGAATTTTAATCCATACCTTGCATTGTTCATTGTCTTACAAGACAGGCTCTATTTGCTCTAAGAATTAAGCTGATAGTAAAACATACTGTTCAAACCAAGATACTTCTGAGAGTAAAAAGTATTATTACAACTTCTCCAGCACAACAGGGGCCAGCTGAGATCTATGCATCTCCCACTGTATGATACACAGGTAGCGAGTAACAGTAGTATTACATCTCATACATGCAGAAACCTCAGCTTTGTGCTCACAACAAATAACTCATGATTTGCTCTCAACAGAAGCTTCTGTCCTGTAGAAGCTTAAGGAGACAGTCCACTTCTAATGGTATTTTATTCCTCCTGCATCGACCTTTATCAAACAACATTAGAGAAGTCTTAGAGACTATCTGATGAATAAAGGAGCAGGAAGACTTTGTAGAAAGCAAGGACAAGTAAAGATGAGATGGAACTGAGAGTAAAGACAGGCAAAGAACATTAGCAGACAGTGTAGAAAGGCAAAAATAAACATGCTGGGCAGTAGATGCATAACTGAGTCCCAAGTGCATGGAACTGTTCTGTCACTCACCTAACACTGTGAGGCCAGCGACCCCAATGTTCCTGCCCCCTCTGTCTGGAAGGTTGTTGACCAAACACTGGTAGGTGCCTGTATCTGACAGCTGAGTGTTATTAATGAAAATAGAGACGTTGGTGGCTGGCATTGTGCCTGTAAATCCTACCCTACCATGGAACCTGGGAGCACCATCAAACATCTGTCCACCCTGATACAAAATGACCTGTAAAAGAAAACAAAATAAATCAAATGCCCATGGTATCCCCTCCTGGACACATAATAGCTAGCTATCTAGTAGAGTGTACCAAATTTTCCTGCCCCAAATTTTGGAAAGGTTTATTTCTAACTTAAGACTTGTTACTAATATTTTGTTATCACACATGTGCATGGGTATCTTGGGACTCTAAATGCTCACATAATAAGTTAAAATAACAGTTTTTTCCTTCTCTAACTCGTCAGAACATAGAAAGTGTGTATTGATACCCTATTATTAACCCACAAATACTTTACCAGTTCAAAAAACTAATTTCAAAATTAGAAGTTTAAAAAATACTAGAACTACCATTGTTATGATTACTAGACCATAAAATGGTACATTACAGTTACAGACGGAAAATAAATGCCACTGAAAAAGAAAGCAGAGTTTTGTACAAGATCCCAATGAAGAATGTAACTGTACTGTATACCTAAAATGTGGCAAGAAACTCAATGAGAAAAAAAAAGCAGAGTTTAAAGTTCATGATTGTTATTCATATGTTAATTTCTAGTATCAAAGTTAACTATTCTTGGGAGAGGAATCAGAATGATATATACCAAAAAGTCCTTTGTTCTGTGAATGTACTTGAATCTTTCCCCTGTAAATGATACAGTTTGCTGGAGATTAGCTTCCATTTTCATTTAATTCACATACATTCTTTTTTGTGTGGCCCCTTCTAAGTTATATAACACTCTATCCATTGCCTAGCACTCCTACTTGTGTTTAAATGCTTGTGAAATTAACTAAGAACACCAAGTGCTATCATCTAACAATTCCTGTTACCACTACTTTTAACAAGTACACACTCACCACCTGTTTAGTGAGTAAACAGACCTTGCTTTTTCTAAGGTGGTATTGTCCCATCAGGAATGATTTTTTTTTTTTCATTTTATCACTCACCACCTGTTTAGTGAGTAAACAGACCTTGCTTTTTCTAAGGTGGTATTGTCCCATCAGGAATGATTTTTTTTTTTTTTAATTCTAGGTTCCTGTATAAAACTCTCAGAACGATCTCTAGCATGTGATGATTATGATGACAATGATAACAATAATAAAAGTCTATTTAAAAGAGGATAGTCTTTTCTGACAGTTGACAATAACATAGAAAGGGGGACCTAAAACAGCACAGGCCCACTAAAAATTCCTCCTAATCCTAGAAATCAAAATATATCAAGATACTTCCCTTCCCACTGCTTATTAAAGGATTATTTCAGAGGCAGCACAGGACAGGACAGGAGTACCTGTTCAGGTTGGTTAGCATTGGAGAGAGGAATGACCATCCAAATGACATTGAGATTAAGGAGGGCAGCACTGGTAGAAAAGGTGCAGGGCAGGACTGCTGTTTGGCCCCGGGCCACCTGGATACTCCCTGGGCTCTCTGACACTTCCAGGGACACAGCAACACCTACAGAAGAAGGAACATGGAGATTATGCACAAACCCTCTCCTAGCAGACCGAACCCTTCCAGGAAGATGTGTGTGTTCAACGTGATCGTATTACTATTGATAATAGGAACAGACTGACATGATGGTCTCACTACACAATGGCTAACCATCACTGAATGAAATAATAAAAGTTTTCCACCCCTTTACCTCTTGGAAACTGCATTAGAAATATTCGAGCCAGGGGTGGTGTCACATATCTGTAACCACAACTACTGCAGTGGCTGAGTCAGAAGAATCATAGGTTCCAGGCATCTGGGCAGCTGAAGAAGACCTTGTCTCAAAATAAAGTTTTATTTTTTACTGGGCTGGAGATGTATCTCAGAGGTAAACTGCTCTCCTCACATGCACAGGGCCTGGGACTCAACCCCAAATACTTCAGGAAAAAGAAAGAAAGAAAAAATAAATAGAGTCACTTATTCTCTAAGACTCTATCCACCAGCTGGACAGATTCAAAAACAAAGATTAAAAAAACATGAGAGAAATGTTACTAGTAGGGTTTGAACAAAGGTTATAAATGGTGATGAAAGATGAAAAATAACCTGAAATTTTTAAGTGTCATTATAATAGTGTGCCACAAGAACGCTTCTATATAAGTCTACCATATGCAGCATCTACAAACTAAAAACTACATATGAGGCACTAATGTAAGAAATCAATAAAACTAAATAAATGATATACACTGTTCATCGACTAGAAGTTCTAATCTTGTTAAAAGATGAATTTTTCCCAAAATGCTTGACAGATTTACAGTAGCCCCAATCAAAATCTCACTAAGGTTTTTTCAAATATTAACAAACATTCTAAAATATATAGAAAGGCACCAGGGATTTAGCTCAGTGGTTCCGCTGCCTGCCTCTCAAGCGCAAGAACCCAGATTCGATCCCCAGTACCAAAAAAAGAAAAAAAAATAACCATAAATTATAAAAAGGCAAAGAACTTGATAACCAAAAGAATACAGAAGAACAAGAACAAGCATAGTGAATTCACCCTAAATGATTTTAAAACATAAAGCGATGATAATCAAAATAATATGGTACTAGTATAAGAACAGACATACAGACAAACAGCACAAGATTAAGACTAGCAAAACGCTTGGGTTTATGGTCAACTGCTTTTCAGTAGGGTTACAAGAGCACTAAACAGGAGAAACAGGCAGTGTTTTTTTTAACAAGTGGTACTAGGACAACTTGATAATAATATGTAAAAAGAGAGAATTTGGAACCATGTCTGAAAGAGCACCCAAAAGTCAATTTAAAATGTTCATAGACCTAAATAAAAGAACTAAACTGGCCATCGCTCCAGCACCAAGAGGGCTGCCTGGGCCCTGATCCACTGCAGGAAGGATAGCCACACCTTCCCCCACCGGGAGCAGCCATCGCTTGAGTACCAGGAAGGTAGCTGCAGAGGCACCCCTGAATCCTACAACTCCCCCACACTCCCCCCACATGCACTCTCAGACCACCTGATTGAGCCAGTCTTTGGACCCACTCTGCAGAGGGCAGAGGTGGTCATAAAGGGTATTTTTCTGAGTTCCCAACATTGAATATCTTTAAAGAAAGGGCTTGGGAAACCTGTAGTAGAACGGTGTGGAGTTCAACAGTTCAGAAGGTGGGGAACTCAATCTGGGCCTTGCAGCCCGAGGTCAGTCTGCGTCATGGGGGTCAGCCATCAGCTAACTGAGATCAGGGGTCTTGCATCCTAGCTGTGTCTGAGCCCCCATCCTAAATGGTAAATATACTATACTGAAAAGTTTGTTCACTGCAGACATGTTTTGGACTGCTTCTTGACTTCAATTTAACTCAAATGGTTTAGGGGTGATAGACTAGTGATTACCACAGGTGGTCAGTTTCCAAGTTGTGCTTGATCATATTGTGTTGCTGGTTGGGATAAAGGATTGTGGTTGATTTGATGAGCTGTTTTCTCTGATTTTATGGAGATGAGAATGTCTGTGGGTTGTTAGAGACCCAGAAGCTAGGGTGCAACTATATCAGGAAGATTTGGGTGATAACCCAGAGATTAAACCAAGGACACCCCACCAACAAAAATAAAAATGAGAAAACACTTAAGCAAGACACAAAGACAGATTTCCAGTTCACCAATGGCAAACAGTAGGGCAAACGAGGATGAAAAGGCCAATAGTGAACCACCAGGACACCCTGAACTCAAAGCACAGGAAGTAACAAAACAGATCAATCAGGCTCTAGAAAAATTCAAAACAGAAATAATTTCCCAGATAACCATAGAGATGGAGAGCAAAATGAAAGTCATGCTTTGAGACTCTAGAACAGAAACTGACAAAAAATAAATAAATAAATAAATAAATAAATAAGATGAGCTCAGCACCATGATAGAAGCCATGAAGGCCCAGCATAAGAAAGAAATGGAAACAATAAAGACCCAATATAGGAAAGAAATGGAATCCATAAAACAGATTCAAACAGATATGCAGGAGATTAAACACTCCATTGAAAGTGTATGCAACAGAATAAAAGAATGCAAAGATAGAATCTCAGATATAGAAAATAATATTACAGTCAGTGACCATGAAAAGACAGGTCTCTTAAAAACAGTAGGGGATCATGAGAAATTGATCTAGCAACTCCTAGATGATGCATAGAAGAATAACATAAGACTGATAGGAATCGATGAAGTAGCAGGAGAAAATACAAATGACTTAAAAAGTCTATTCACAGAATTAATGACAGAAAACTTCCCAAACAGAGGGGAAGAATTTGACATTCAGATAACTGAGGCATATAGGACCCCAACTAGCCACAATCAAAAAAAAAAAAAATCTACACCTAGACATATAATAATCAAGATCCCAGAAACCCAACAGAAGAACAAAATACTACATGCAGTAAGAGAAAAGAAACAAATCACAGGCAAAGGAAAGCCCATCAGAATCACAGCAGACTTTTCAACACAAAGCCTTAGGGCAAGGAGAGCCTGGAGTGAGATATTTCAAGTAGTAAAAGAGAACAACCTCCAACCTAGACTGATGTATCCTGCAAAACTCTCTTTCAAAATGGATGGGGAAATAAGATACTTCCAAGACAAAGAACATCTGAGAAACTACACGAATACCAAAGCAGCAGTAAAAGCAATTCTAAACAATATCCTAGAAAAAGACAATGAAGGTAACAACACCATGAGGCCCAACAGAGCAAATGAAATAGGCAAGGCAAAAAACTAAAAGGAGAAGGTGAAAAAGTAAAAAGCATCAACAAAAGGCCATAACAGGACAATAATAAGTCAGTACATATCAGTTATAACCATCAATGTCAATGGCCTCAACTCACCAATCAAGAGAAACAGACTGGCAGAATGGAATAAGAAGCAAAATCCAATAATATGTTGTATACAAGAAACACACCTAGTGCAAAAAGAAGCCCATAGACTGAAAGTGAAAGGATGGAAAACAATTCTCCATGTGACAGGAGCCCAGAAAAAAGGCAGGGGTAGCAATCTTATTTGCAGACAAAGTAAATTTCAAACCAAAACTGATTCTAGTATTATAGATGTAGGATGGTACTGTATCATACCTCTGTGAATATAAAGTATCTTGTACCTGCTTTATGATACATAGTAGTGACCATGCTTTATCAGAGCTATTTTTAATGATGTTACTCTGGAATGTTCTCTCTCCAGATGATGATTAAGATGCTAATAAAAAAAAATGGTGCCAGATACCACAACAGCAACAGAACTTTGCTGTTTTCTGGGTATTATTCTTCTCTTTACTGTGTTGAGTTGGCACTGTACAGCAATTAACAGCCATATTGGTCTAGAAATGTTAATTTTTTTCCATTTCTACAGGAGTAATGCACTGTATTAAATATATAAGGTCATATCTATGTGGTTTTGATTACAGAAACTAATAAATATTCTCCAAATAATGAAAAAAGAGAATAATATAAGACTACAAGAGCAAGAAGCAACTTAAATATATGTTCAAGGACCATTTTCATCTTCAGAATTAAGGATTATTTTAATTTTACATCATTGCCTTTTCTCTTTTACTTTCCTTTTTAGTTTTATTTTAGGATTCCCTATTTTTAATGTTCATATAGAGATTTCTTTAACTGAAATACCGAATAGTTTCTCTGGTGTGAAAAAGTATAATAGTACACAAGATCCTAATGAGATAATTAATAATGTGAAATAGGAAGTAAAGGGCTAAAGGTGTAGGGAAAGTGTGAAGGGTAGGGGAAAGGTAATAAGGGAGAGGAAAAATATATGAGAAAATGAAAAAATGGAAATAAAGTGTAAATTGGGAAGGGAGGAGGGGGTGAAGGGGGGCAGGGACAAGGGGCAAAAAATGAGAATCAAGATCTATCATGTAAAGGTACAGGATCCCAATAATGAATGTAATTTTATTGTATACTTAGATTGTACCAATAAACTCAATAAAAATTAAAAAAAATAAAAGAACTAAACCTATAAAAGTCTACAAATAAACACAGCAGACAAGTTTAGTTACTATGAATTAGTTAAAGAGATCTCTTTTTGGTGGGGGCGGGTACCGGGAATCAAACTTAGGACCTTGTGCTTTTGAGGCAGGCAGCGGAACCACTGAGCTAAATCCCCAGCAAAGAGATCCTAGATATGTCACCAATACCAAAAATTAATAAATTGGATCTCCTTAAAATTAAAAAAACAAACAAACTTTTGCTTTAAAAGATTTAAGAAAATAAAAAGTCAGGCTTGAGATTTAGCTCAGTGCTTGCAAGTGCAAGGTCCCGAGTTCAATCCCCGGTACCAAACAAACAAACAAACAAGAAATGAAAAAGTCAAAGCATATACAGGGAGAAAATATAAACCATGTGTACAATGAAAGACTTATCTAAACATATTATCCAGCATATATAAAGAACTATAACAATACAATTACAAAGACAACCTCAATTAAAAGGGGAGGTAAACATTAAAATGACAATAGCATATCACTGCACATCTG